CCCCGCCCCTATGCGGGTCGTGGGATGTGCCCGACCCTATGTTTGTCGTGGGTCAGGCTGGGTCCAATCCCAGACCTGTACCAGATAAGTAGGTCTAGCCCACTTTGACTTGGGCGGGCCCAGGTCAGAGTCAACCCGACCTTGAACCCGGCGGGCCGAGTCATAGGCCTGAATCGGCCTCGCCCACACCCACCCCTAAGTCTCAGGGGCTATTTAGTTCAAGCAAATTTTTTGTATTTTGTGTGGATTATAAATTTTGGGATCAAAAAGTGAGTTTTTTGTGTTTTGGGATTCCATATTTTATGTTTGTTTTAAGAAAATTTTTAGAATGTTAAATTCCAAAAATGCAAAAACTACTTAATTTTTAAAATTCCAAATCCTCTCAATTAGAGAGGATTTGGCAAATCCTATAATGTGTATGCCTCTTCTTTTATATCCTTATATTTATTTTTTGGGAGGTAACTTCATCAAGATAAGTATATTCACCTCTTCTTCTTTTCAAGAACTTGTTATTCTATAATTTGGGTTTGAACCAAACAAGCTATTATAATTTTTAGGATTTTCTTTCCTATAATAATGTTGAAGCAAACAAAATATTAGATGTCGCGTGTATAAAACCCTATGGATTTGAAATTCTCCATGAGATTACAAGTCCTAAATTTTTGGCATTTGAACCAAACTATCGCATTTACGATACAGCACTATTAGACCCCCCCCCCGGGTGGAGTCTTTCTAAACTGGCATGCCTAGGGTGATGGGGGGCATGATGGTAATATTCATGACCCCCTCTATAGTGCAGATCACCCCTCACAATAGGGTGTTCTGATAGAATGGCTACTCATTTAATTTTGGCGATAATCAGAGCAAAATTGATCTAGTGGATTTAGGTCTGAAATAAACTAGAGCAAGAATCAATCTAGGGAGTGTTGTTCTGAAATGCACCAGGTTTTATGCCAACTCTAAAAAATATTGTGAGAAAAAAAGAAAAATATCCATATTTAATTTAACTCAAACTTTAATCAAATATAACATAGCCAAATTTTAGTTCTAAACCTTTCAATTGAAAATAACCAAAGTAAATATAATTTAAAACTAGTTTTATGAAAATCTTTAGTTTACAAATTACCAAACTGACCTATTCGCAGACTCTCCTTGGTTGTTGAAAAAATACCAACATAAATTCTCTCTCTTATAGGAGAAAGAATCCATTCGACTCGGTCTAGTGTTATAAAACATATGAAAATTGTGGGTTCAATTTATTAGTCATATGTCATCTTATTTTAAGTCAATCCAAATGTTCTCATCTCTTTAATTGTCACTTGCCTAACTGATCACTATCTCACCACTTATAGACGTGGACGTCTTGATAAATTTTTCAAAGAAGTATTATATTAGAGGGGGGGATTGGGATCCTCTACTAAGCCATAGTGTCTCCTAATATCTCCTAATGCATCTCCACCTTTCATTTTGTGCATAAGCACAAATACGAGAATGTACTATGCAATGAAAGGTGGAGATGCATTAGGAGATATTAGGAGGTACTATGTTTTAGTAGAGGATCTCAATCCGGGGGGAATAACAACAACAGCAAAATGAAAAAGTAGGGGTTAGTTTTAGAAAACCCCCTTCAACTATAGGGATTGTCTCAGGCCTTTCAACTATTTTAACTCTAGAAAACTCATCCCCTCAGTTGCTGTAGATAACCCCCTCAACTTTCAAAATATGATTTATCCCTTCTTAACTTTTCTCACTTAAACTCCTAAACTAATATAATTAAAATCTAAAGGAAAAAATAATTTTAAATGATCATACTATCCCTAAGACGTTAAAAATTTTACCATAGTGTTTCTTTTTAACTTCTTTGGTGAAAATTAACTTTCATTTTATTTCCCCCATCTTCTCATTCCTCTGTCTTTGTTGCTAGGTTCACATGCAATCTTTTTTTTTTCCTTTCTTTCTTTTTTGAAATGCTAAACTTCTTTTATGTTTTGCTTATCCATTAATTCCTGTAATGTTGAAACTTTTGAATTTTTCTTTAAAGATTAGTTTCCTCATCGAAACCCATCAAATTAAAGTCTAATATTTTTATAGGGTTTGGTTTTTAAGCTCACATGATTTCTTTTAACCAAGGGTATTTTTAGACATTGCATTTTTACATTAATAATATTAGGGGGTTTATTTAAAAAAAACTAGAAAGATAAAGGTCGTTTCTAGAGACACACCATAGTTAGGGGAGGTTTAGACTTTAGTCATACCTTGAAAGTCGAGGGGGTTATCTACAGCACCTTTAAATTTAAGGGGTTTTTCTAAAGTTAAAATAGCTGAAGAGGGCGTTCTAAGACAAGCGCCATGGTTGAGAGGGGCTTTCAAAAATTAACCCAAAAACTAAACCTGATAATTTCAACCAGGGCTACAACAATCAATTACAATTGTTTCAAGTAAAAATACGTAACCAATAAAAGTCCCAGCCCAACTAGGTACCTAAAGGTGACCAAATTAAAAGACTAGGCCAATTCAAACGAAGGCCCAGCCCAATTTAGAAGAACATTGTTCCCAAAAAAAAATCGCAAGGGGATCACGTTTTCATCGGCGCTTTCGCCCACTCATCAATGGCAGCTCTCCTCCTCACCTCCCCCCCTACTTTCCTCCCCCCGATTCTTTCCTCCAAAAAATCGCCGATCAATTCATTCTCACCGGCGACTAAATCCTCGCCCTCTCCATCTTCTTCTTGTTCTCGGATCTTATCCCCCCTCTTCGCATCCACTACTACCCCTTCTGTACACGCGTTGAGATGCCGGGTTCGTTATCGGGTCGGGTCCTGGAGATGCGGGGCTCTAGGAGAAGGATCCGAAAGGGCCTTTAACGATGAGAAAACTGTATATAGTGGAGTTTACGGCCCATGGACGGTAGAGCCTTCTGATGTCCGCGAGGTACAATATTTTTCCTTTCTTTTCTTTTTTGTTTTTTTTTTTCTTGGTTTGTATTTTTCACTGATACATATTATTATGCTTGTTGGTGTTAGTTTGCAATTCATGAATAAATTTTTGTGTTATTTTGAGAACTGTGAAATAGGAATAAGTGAACAATCTTATTCCGCCATTAGAGGAGAAAGAATTTGATCTCTTCCAGTGAAGTGCACGGGACTACTATACATTAATGATCAAATCATACTATAATTATATATAATATACATTAGAAATATATATATAAGTATATACAAGTATATATTAATGATAATGTACACATAAAAATATATATATAACTATACATTAATGACTATATCATACTATAGTTATATATAAAAATATAATATGTATATTATTAAAAATCGGGTCAGGCCTAGCTCGGGTCGGGCTTCACCACCTCGGCCCAGACCCTGGCCCGGAGCCCGACCGGGCCGGATTTTTCGGGCTTTACCCTTGCCCGGGCAGGGTACAGGCCGGGTCCGGGCCCAATGCCCATTTGGACACCTCTAACTACGGGTGATTTGGATAGTTGAAAGGTGGGTTTTATATGAGATAAATGGTAAATTACACTATATTACAGACACTGTTTTAAAAAACCTCCGCCTAGTCCGCTTAGACGTACCCCTAGGTCTAGGCGGTATCTAGGTCGCCTAACTAGCGCCTAGCGTCTAGGCGGTATTTAGGCTGCCCACCTAGATTATACGAGCGTTTACGGGAGCATTGTCTGCTTACGTGGATTGTACCCTGTAGGTCTTGGTTGTGATTTTATGTGTTGTAGCCTACACGTCCTCCAAACTTCATTAACCTCCAAATATGAATATCTTCACTACCTCCTCCGACCTTCAGCAAAACCTCATCGACCATCACTTAAATGAAGAAAGAAATCCGCCTAGACACCAGTCCGGCATCTATGCTTTCTATAACATTGACATTCACTATTAATTATTATAATTAAAAATAAAAAAAGAAAACATCTTAGACTCTAGCCTTGTTAATTATTATTTTGGCTATTTAGTATCTAAGTATGCATGATTTATTGTGAAAATAAGATTGCTATCTTGTTTTGAAAATTTATATAAATTTAGTACATATTTTTATCAATTATTATAATTAAAAAATTTAAAAATAGTCAAACGTCTAGGCGCTGCCTAGGCATACGCCTAGAGGTCTAGGCGTTAGGCGCTCGCTCAAACGCCTAGTATGCCTAGCGTCTTCTGTAACATTACGGAGCTTCCCCGATCTCTGTAATACTAACAAGGTAATGAGTATTTCTTAAATATCTATTTAAGTTAGTTAACAACAATAACTTAAACTTAAGAAGTGTAAGTTAACAGTAAACTTAAGTTTAAGTTTAAGTTTAAGTTAAACTTAAGTTTAAGCTAACAACAAACTTAAGTTTAAGTTAATATTAAGTTTTTTGTTGATGGTATACTTAAGTTTAAGTTTATTTTTAACTTAAACTTAACAGTAACTTATAAGTTAACAGTAATTTAAGTTGAGAATGAGTTTTTTACTGTTGAGATGAACTTATAATTTGAGTTGAGAAGTATAAACATACAAAGAGCTATTGAGATGAACTTATAATTTGAGTTGAGAAGTATAAACATACAAAGAGCTATTGTAATTGGTAAACCAAACAATTTAGTTAAAACATACAAAGAGCTATTGTAATTGGTAAACCAAACAATTTAGTTAATAGTGTTGGTATTTTAGTATTAATGCATCTTTGATTGAGTATATATATATTTATCTTCAAGTATCACAATTAAAAAAATAAAAAACGCCCAAAAACCGCTTAGGCGCTCGCCTGGGAGACTAAGCGTTGGGCGCTAAGTCAAACGCCTAGAAGCGTCCAGCATTTAATGTAACATTGACTACAGGAACTTTTAGTGTTTTGCAGTAAACCCTCAATAACATTCAAAATCGCACTAGACATCCAATAATTTACTGACATTGCAGAAGACCTCCAATAACTTTCTGCATTTTGCAAATAATCCCCCATAAGTTAGATTTAAAAGCAACATAAAAAGGCATTTTGAAAGCTAGGGTTACTAAATGCGCATGGTATGCACGAAGAATACAAATCTAATGAGAACCACCCCTAGAAATGGGGTACTTCGAGCCATAAATACAAGTTACAATTTCCAAGATAACCTCTACATTCTTGTGAATGGTTTAGATCACCCTATTGTATGCTAGTGTTCTGATAAGATTTGTACTTTTGTTCGAGAGTCTTTACGAAATTTTAAAAATAGTAGGAATTAAAGCTAGCAATAGTTACATGCATACATGTTGTATATCGTTTACTAATATAGATTAATATTCCAAAAGTTACCACGACGTTTTGGTAGAGAAAATCGATTGGGGTAGTCTGATTAGAGAACTTCACTGGAAACAATTAAGAAGGGCATAGCAGTGCTTAAGTTAGTGGAGGAGATAACTCTTAACAGAATTGAGCAGAAGAATAGGATTCAAATGGGGCAGACCTAAAACTTTTATAAGTAGAGTATGAAATGATAGAAACGAGATGCACAAAGTTTGGTATGATTTGGGAGATGGAGTGCCCTATGATGAATGCCAAGTCGTGGTTTCTTGCCTTCAATCCTACAAAAACAAATCAGTTAAGGTCTGATCTAGAACCATTAAAAGTGTGAAATAATAGAAATGAGGTGCACATAGAGTAAGTAATAGCAGGGGGCCACAGGTTACCTTGAGAGTCCCTGTGGTTTGAGTTAAGGCGTATATTCACATCATGACTATCTATCACAACTTGCACCAAATTTTGTGAAATTTCCATTTCTTCTATGAGTATCAATAGAGTCTTACTCGATGATTTCCTTCTTTTTCATAAGTTTTTATAATGATCCCATAAATCATACATAGGAGAAGTCTATAAAAGGAATATTATTTGAACTAACATTGGGGTGTGCCATTTTGTGTTTGTATTATTAAAAAGAAAAGGGGATGTAAGGGTTATGATCCGGTTTGTATTATACATTTGGTTAAGCATTGAAATTCAACCTGTATGGGAATCGTTTGGTTTTTTATTTTTTTATTTTTTTATTTTTTATAATCAAAGATAGAATGCAAATGTTAGTGCATAACATTTGGATATGTACTATTAATCTGCAAATATTTTAGCTGCATTGGTTCTGGCATTCATAAGGATCACATTATCAGTATGATGCTTATCGTCCCTTGTCACTTATTTTTGTGCAACTTTGAGTGTATGTGATGACTTTAAACTTCAGGTCATCTTGTATAGATGCGGGTTGGTGACTGCTGCTGCTTCATTCGTACTAGCGTCTTCTGCTGCTTTCTTGCCTGAAGGCAACGCTTTGGGTGACATACTCAAGCAAGACATTGACTTCTTATATCTTCTTGGAGCTAGTGGACTAGGTTTATCATTGTTTTTAATTCATATTTATGTGACTCCAATTAAACGTTTCCTCCAAGCATTATGGGCGGTTGGTGTTGCTGGGTCCATTGCAACATATCTGAACCTTGCTCGACCTCTTGAAGAGAGCTTGATACAATATGTCATAGATAACCCAATTGCTATATGGTTTGTTGGTCCTCTCTTTGCTGCATTGACTGGTCTCGTCTTTAAAGAAGGTAAATCGTACATTTGTGATCTGCGAACTGTTTATATTCTTCTATACGAGCGATCTATTCCATTCATGTTTATTTAAGGGTTAATTGCAGACAGACCCCCTGCACTATCTCCCAATTGCGTATAGGCCTCCTGTAGTTATATACTTGCATATAGACCACAGATGAATTTTTTATTTGATTCTTTTACCCTTAGAGGAAGATTAAAAAATATTTTTTTGACAAATAGACCTCATGAGGATAAAAGAGAAAAAAATTCATTTAGGGGGACTATTTGCAACAATTGAACTACAGGGGTCTATCCGCAATTGGGCGATGCTCTAAGCGGTCTCTTTGTAATTCACTGTTTAATTAATTTGCAATTATCATCTATCCAACCACATAATATTCTTGGTTAGCAACATAGCATTATATGCCTTGTTTGGTTTCTTCAAGTTTCATTATCCAACAACTTCTAAAATGGAGATAAAACACATAATTTCTGGGTGGATGGATCATGTACCCTTCTTTTGTGAGATCCCATCAATGCAAATTTACTTGATTTCCTTGAAACGTGATAAAATCTATGTACATTAAAAACCTAATCCTAATTATTTTGCATGCATACTGAGTCTCATATCTATGGTGAAATTTTGTTCATTGACTATCTAACGTGAGAGATCATACATTACCAAGGGCTTAACTAAGGACAGGATTGGTTTTAGTGCACTTGCCCTTATAGAGGCAATGAAAAGGTAAATTAACTCTAAATTCATAAAACAGGCATGGCACTTCACTTCCTGTCTGTGACTTGTGTTCTTCGATTTCATTATCAGTTCTCAGTTCTGCATACTGAGTGTGTATGTTTGGTTGGTATATGTAGTTTGTCTTGCATTCGGTCTATTTATCTTTAGAAGTTCGCTTTTGTCATATATTCAAAATATATAAAATTTTAAGCGGTTTAGGTCATGTTCCATATAGGTTTTGGCAGTTGTTTATGTTCCAAGTAATCATGAATTTTGTTACCGTTCATTATGCTTAACCGCACAGATCTAGCCCAAACCTCATGCTGTGCCTTATCTATCCTGGCATTTCTAACACCTCTGTAAATCCATAGTTGTCATGAAGAAGATTACTTGGTTTTTTGTACATTTTATTAATGGCTACTTGCATCACACAGGTCTTTGTTATGGGAAGTTGGAAGCTGGCATTCTGACATTCATCATCCCAGGCCTCCTCCTTGGGCATCTGGTATGTGTCAATACATTGTACATTAGCTTATCATGTAAAGATTTCACATGCCTAATTCTAAGTACTAAATATTACTGTAAGTAAGACAGTGCCAACTTTAAATTAGCAGGATGCCAATAAACTTTTTTATTTACTTCCTAGTTCCTACTTGAGCTTCTTAACGTGAACTCTGATCATCATCCTCTGCCAGGGAGAAGTTCAGCTTTTCCCCAGTTACACAAGGGAACCTCTAAGACTTTGATTGAATTTCGTAATAACCCATATATTACATTGACAGGAGTATATTTTATCCTTGCGATTTCCACTTGATTTACCACTATTTCTGATTCCTATTGTTGGTGCTCATTTGATATACAAGTAGTAATCAGGTTTGAAGTAAAGCATCATAGTGCAAACAAATTTGTCAATATGATGAGCTCATCTTCTTGCTAAATAACATATATTACTCTCCTTCATAAATTGACACGAGATATTCCAGATAGAACCTGATAAATTTGTTCTGTACTTTTACTTGCATTTCGTGAAGTTATATTTGGAATGTGCAGACAGGATTAATGGACAACGGCACAAAACTTAGTCTATTGGGCATCTGGATGGCTCTCTTTGTAGTATTTGCAGCTAGGAAGTTTCAGCAGCCAATTAAGGTACGTTTTTATAGTGATTTCACGGAATATGGAGGAATATTATCTGAAAGTAACTTAGACTGTGTGCTTATATGTTCACTTTTTTAATCATCCATTAAAGGATGACATAGGCGACAAATCCGTGTTCATGTTCAATGCTCTTCCAGAAGAAGAAAAGAAAGCCTTAGTCCAGAAACTCGAGCAGCAAAGTTATCAGGAGCTCGACTGATAATTTTGTACTGAGCAAGATCTTCTTGATATATGAAGGGGGATGCATATGATGAGTTTCAGGAGCTCAATACACCAGAAGCTGCATTTATCTGCAGCTTCATAAAAGTTGCCCCTGAAAGTATAAGCTGTGAACTGAGGGTTGACTGGTTTATTAGCATGATTCAGATGTGCTCACCGTTTTGTTTCGGACTGTAACACAGCTGTATAGTCACTTCATATATACCTCTAGGTGTTATTATATATTTGCATAGTTTTGAAGTAGATGATTAAATTGTCAGAGGATGTCAATAGAATTTTCAGAGTTTTATATGATGTCATAAGTTTGCCGGTTAATGAAACAGGCAAGGATAAGATTACACCTTAAATTTGTTAGTCCATGAATTATAAGGCTTTTATGGCATATTATTGCTTTTGAGAGTATATCATCATATTGCTGGTCTTTGCCCATCAAAGATGTCGAGTCTGCAAAGCTCCTCCGATCAAAGATCGTTAAACTTTTGGTCTGCAGAAGAGCAGCCTGTAATCCAACAAATCACAAGGAAAACCTAGAACTCGTACGCTAAATAATCATCGTTACGACTTGAAGCCTAAATATCAACTTCTAAAATGTTGCATGATTTATGAGACAAATGACAATCACCAGGGAAACTTCCTTAAGGCTGGTGCTTGAACACTGGCTTTCTTTAAATAAAGGATTGGTGCTTGAACACTGGCTTTCTTTAAATAAAGGATCGTACCGTTGTAAGGAAAAGGAAGTCTGTCTGCCCTATATTACTGTGAATTTAAATTGTTAAACTGTGAGCATGCAATTCTTTGAGATAAAAATGCTTAGCACAACATTTTCAAAATAACAATAGGAGAGCTGGAGGGCTCAAAGCAGCACCAATATCCAAGTTCGGGACTGTAATTACCAGGCATACTGAAAAAAATCCCATGCTTTACAATTCGCCTTTAAGTTTCATTTGCTGGGTAACTCTTCGATTCTGGTTGCTGGGAGAAAGATGACTTGATCCATTTGCTTGATTCTGATTCTTCCACTTTTGATCACCTCCAGAATCAACACTGCCAACATCCTCATTCTTCTTCGCTTTCTTACCAAATCTTTTAGTGCTAGTTATTTGTTTCCTCTTTCGAGTAGCCTGGGTGTTGGTTTTCTTTGCTGGACTCTGACAGTCCTCTCCACTTTCATCCATTTCTGAATTCGCAGCATGAATCTCAGAATCACCATTTGCAGGCTCAAGTTTCTTCTCCTTAGCAACAACACCATCACTTCCTTCTTCTATCAACTTATCATCACTTCCAGTCTCGTCTTCTTTCACATCACCACTTCCAATCTCCTCCTTGTCATTAGTTTCGACCTCATCCTTCTCCACATCACTGTCATCCCCCCCAGATTTCTGTACAACATCACTACCTTCCTCGGTTGAACCTTCAATATTCTCGTCTTCGTTCTTTTTCTGGAGAGATTCAATCAAATCCATAACCTCCCTGTTAACCTGGAATGAGAAAAAATAAACCAGGTTTATTCAATAAATAATATAGTCTAGTGTAAGGTAATGCCAAGTCTTTTTAAATGAAAAGCAATCGTTGTACATCCAATACTTGGGCTAACTAAATAGGAGGAAGAAATTCACTGTTTCAGAGCTTAGCATCACGACACTTTGATGCCAAAGAGAGGAATGTGGTTCAAATATTGGGTTCATATCCCAAAAAGAATCATGCAGCCATTAAGAGCAAGAAGTTTCTCATTTACAAACCCCAGTTAGAATTTCTAGAGACAGCACGTATGTTTGTCATGAGTACACTGTGCGCATACAGGAAATAACCTTTATCGTCCACTAGTTCAGTCGTTCCTGAAGAAAATTACATGTGCTTTATGGAAAGATTCATGATATCTCGATATCTTTCAATACGATACTAACAAATATTGACATCTTGGATTCATAACAATTTATACCCTGATCAATGTATGAAGTAATGATTGCAGTAGGACTTTTCACAGGTGACAGATGCATCCTTAACGTAACAAAAGGCAAGCCATGGTGGAGATATGCATGGGTCATAAAGCACATTAGCATAGTCAATTTCTCTACAGCCACACGCACATGTATATTTGTAGTAAGTCTAAACTTCCAAATGCGCTGCCACATCAACATTTGTTGATGCATGCATGCCCCTCACAAACATATCTTTAATAAAGATTGACAAAGGAACTAGTATATACACAGCACTGTGAAGGCTTTGATCTGTTGATAATAGATCGATAAATTGCAGTATTTAGCATAAATCAAGTAACATTTCGTGAAGTTTTGGAACATTTCATGAATGCCGGGGACCGATTCCAAGAGTTTGTATTTACAGGAAAAAGAAAAAAAAATCATACCTATAACTGCATATTAGTACCACAAGAAATTTTCTTTCCTGAATCCCCAGTTAAGAAAGGATGCATGTTACGTTGAAAATCAAATAGCTACTTAGAATGTTATTTCTTTCATAAAATTTCATCATCTTACACCACTAATCTCTTAGTCGAATCAGCTTTGGGACAAACCCTTCTCTTGTTTTCAGGATCTTACTCTCTTATTTCTTTCTTAGTTTACTTCCTTTCAGCTTAGAGACAAACCAGAATCTTGTTCAAAAATTTGTCAGCCAGGAATCACAACGATGAAATCGGGTAGTCAGTTCAACATAAAATATGGTCATATTCAAGTACCCATTAGGCATTGTGGTCATTGGAGG